GCAGAGTAAAATTATTTATTAATCATCAAACAAGTTGGTTTCTTTAAAAATGAGAAACGGGAACAAGAAATAGGAAACGAGAACGTTACCAAACAAGCCTTTAATTATTCAATCTCTTTGGATACGATCTTTTTATCACTTGCTATGCCATTAGTATACACTTGCACTAGGATTATTAAAATTGTTAACAAGTGTCTCTCTTCTTTTTGTATTTTTCTATATTTGACTCTAGGGTTTCGTGCTTTTCTATTTATAACATTTAGACTTGGGTAGCAAGTCAATTCCGAGCAATATATGTGGAAATCGTTTCCTTTTATGACAGAAAATTTGATTTCATAATTCCTAGATTCGCGCGGCTGTTCTTTACGTAGTGTTACAACATTCCAAATATGACGTATACTCCGTCCTCACGGCACAACATGATTGCTCCCAACATTCCTCAAAGCATTTGCACTCAACAGAAATCAGTCAAATAACCTCAAAATCTAATACTCTCGTAATATATTAATGCTTTCATAGCATATGCTTCAAATCATAGAATACACTCAAAGTTCCTAAAACACATTATTTTAACAAACTTATATCATTAGAACTTCTATTTTCTCTTTGAAAAACAATTATCTAGATAGGGGATTTATTACCTCTTTTCAAGAGTTATTAGTCTTCCATTGAGGGAAAAATACAGGTGGAAGATAATTACCTTCTTCAAGAGGCGATAAGAAACTAGCAAACAAATTCAACATAGACAGTGAAGCATTGCATCAAGTTCCTGCTTATCCCTGTTATAATAGGCTAATAAATATGCTATTCTAGTCTTTTATCAGATAAGAAGATCAAAAACTAACTTACTTCTCTAGTCTTATGTTAGGGTTGACTTTTTACTGCAGAAACATGTATCGGTAGGCCTATTTGACCACGTTTTTTACCCCTTTCCCATCATTATTTGCCAAAAAGGACCACATATTCTTAAAGTAGAACATGCATAGAACATTTCTACATAGAAGTCAAACTATGGTACTTTAAGAAAAATATGAGAAAAATGCGGTCAAACTTAGAAGAAAATAACAATTTTCTGTTTTTGCAGAATTGCGCCTGGCGCATTTTTGGAGAGAAAATTGGCAAACACACGTTTTGATTAATGAAGGGCAAGGAGGACATTTCCCACATGTTCAAACCATCTCAAAACCGTGAGTCCAAGTCCAAGAGGGTTTGTTAGGTGAATCTCAACCCAGTTCCACCTAAAATGGTGAGGAGTTCAACCAACCCAAGGTGCTATATAAGGAAGCCATCCCTCCACTTGCAAATCATCCCTTCCAAGCTCGTTTTCAGCTTCATTTACTTTCTTCTTCATTGTAGAACTCGTTCTTAGACTTTATATTCAAGTTTTGGTTGTTATTTTCTTGTATTTTCATACTTTTGCTTACCGTATTGCTTTTAATTCAAGTTCTATCTTTTGTTCTTCATTTATTCTGTTCTTCTTACATTCTTTAGCGAGTTTACACTCCCCTCACGCTCGAGAGAGAAGAGAGACAAGCTAGAACTCATTGTACGACTCGTTTATTCGTTTTAATTCAATGAAAAATACTTCCTATATGTTTTCGTGCATTTTATTCCCTTTAAAAATGTTCTAAATTAGTTATCAACCTCTTTGTGGAATGCCTTAGTCAAAATGATTTGATTTTCAATATGCTCGAGATTTGTCCAGAATTGCGTCTGACACTTTTTTGGGTTGGTTTATAAAAACTTCTCTTTACGTTTTTTTTCCATTTGACCAATGGGAACTTGATTTATACACTAAAGCCCAACCCTGAAAAGGGTGAGTTAGGTAAAATATTAGGAAACGAATATGGGATGTGACTTAGACATAAACGCATAAAATATGGTCCTAAACATAGACCCTCTTACCCATAATGCATGTGAGTTGATAATTATTCTCTAGGATTGTAATCACATATAGACATATGACTGTAGGTTACCCTAGCCTCTGCAGCAACCAAAAGCGGCAGTGAAAGAGTAGAACTCAGTTTTCCAAGAAAAGCTAGAATTGCACCTGGTGTATTTTCCCAACAAAATTTGTTTTCCATGCTTTGCATTAAAACTAAGGTAGAAAACAAAGAGGTTGAGTTTTATTAAATTTCTTGTTAGTTAAAACCCCAAACAACAACATTTCATCACATTTTTCTTCCTAAATTACAATTGCATATTTGAACCATTTAATGGCATTACTTGATTTTAAAAAGCAACAAGTTCCTGAAGATTCGACATTGGATTACTTCCGAGTATTACTTATGATCGTGTGCGCTTGCACAAGTCTCTAATCTTTTTGAAGGTAGAGAAAAAGCCCCAACATCTTACCTGAAGAGAAAAGCAAGTAGGCCTAAATATTATCACCCCTTTTTAGAAGTATAGTAGTAGTCTCACCCGACGTGAAATTCGAGCTTATGGATTTTTTCACTAGCAACACTTGACTCGGATTTAAGAAGGGGCCTCTGAAATTATTTTATATATTTTTGTTGTATTGTGTAATACTATCAAAATTATTATATATATTATATATTGTGCATTTTTAACTCAAATTTCTGTTTCTACATTGGTTCCTGCGTGCCCTTGAGGTCAAGGCTTCAAGTCTCAATATGTGCAACATATTTGATCTCGTTTTATTTTCCTTTGTAAAAAATACCCTTTCTTGTATTTTTTTTAATATTTTTAAATAATTATAATATTAATTTTTCTTTTTCTTTTTCTTTTTTGTCAAAATACCCCTTTTTTGTGTGTTTTTTTAATAAAAATATATTTCTTATTTTTCGAATAATTATAAATGTATAATATTATGGTATTATAGTTTTTAATCTGATTTACTCTAAACTTTTCAAATCAAAAAGCAATTTAATTGTTTTTAAAAAAAGTTTCACTAAATATTTAAAGTTTTTTTGTACTAAATATTTAAAGTTTTATTATTTTATTTATATATTTATGTAGATAATTCAATAATATTTTATTTTGAGCAAAATAAAAATATGTATGAAATTATAACTTTTTGTATTTATTTTACCATATTTTTAAGTATCTATGCTAAATCAACAAATATCATACATAATGAGTTATATAGTCTAGTTTTCAATATTACTTAAATTGAATGTTTATAATAAATGAATCTAAAATTATAAATAGAAAATTTCATTTTTTACTTCTAAACTAGACAAGTTATATCAATTTTTAGCATACGGTTTCAATTTCATAATTTTGATAATTCCCGCTAAGTCACTCATTAATTTTGATAATTCGATAAAAATCAAGTTTTCCTCGTATAAGTTTTACTAGTCACAAAATCAACTCTGAAATAACCACCGAAATTTAAAAGCTAACCAAAAAAAATCTAAACTAATGTTTCTTTTGTGAATCTTGATTTCTTGTCAAATATATATTTTGTAATTCATTTAAGTAATTTCACATATATGTGTAACTTTTTAACAATTTTAAATGGAAGTTCATTAGAGGGTAAGATTATAATATTTATCCAAATTTAATGTATAATTCGATGAAATTGAAAGTTTAAGGTAAATTTTAATATATATTGCAAGGATAATTTTTTCTCCCTCACATTTAATATCATATTATGCCCCCGACATTAATGTCTAGATCATTGTTTAACAGTGTAGATCATGATATCAAATAAAGTCACCATTACAACCTTTATCCAAATACTGGATTAAACAAGACATTTAACTACTAAGGTGAGAAACTATGGAAATAGAATGATTAGATCCAACATGAAAGTCTTATTACTCTCAAGATAGAGATTGACTGCCACATGATGGCCTTCAACCCTGCCAAATCTCATCAAGAGGGTGGAGGCTACTATTATAGGTAAATAAAAAAAAATAGAAAAAGGAAGGTCGATTAATATCAACAAGCAAGATGGTTGATCAAAATGAACAAGCTAGAAGGCCGATCAAGATCAACAAGCCAGAAGATCGATCAAGATGAACCAGTTAGAAGGTCAGTCAAGATCAACGAGTTAGAAGGCCATAAAAAATGATCGACCAATAATGACAGACCAAGAATGGTGAACCAAGAATGACGGACCAAGAATGGCTTTAGGTAATTAGTAACAAAATAAATAATTCCAACCGACTAAGAACCTAAAGGAGAACTTAGTTCTACACCTACTTAAAGTCAGGCCAATTAAGGAACCCCAAAGGCATAATTGCAGCAAGCAAAAAGTCGAGTTGATTAACGAGCCCAATAGACTTAATTGTAGGCCACCAAGCCAATTGGGAAACTTCGAGGGTATCATAATTGTAGCATGCAAAAAAGTCGACTTGATTACGAGCCCAATAGATTTAATTGTAGCATATAAGCCATTTAAGGATCTCCAAGTGTATCATAATGTAAGCAGGCCAGAGAGTCGAGCCAATTAACAAGTTAGATAGACTTAATTGTGGCCTATAAAGTTGATCACAGCAAACTTAATCGTAGCCTATAGAGTTGATTAAGGAACTTCAAGAGTATTAAAACTGAAATCAAGCGAAAAAAGTGAGCCAGTTAACAAGCTAGATAGACTTAATCGCAACCAACTAAAGATTTAAAAGTGATAGAATCGATAATGTAATCGATTTAAGTCGAGTTCAGTTGATTAAGAAAATCCAATGGACCTAATTGTAGTCTGTTTAAACCAATTAAGATACTTGAAATGGAATTAGTTTGTCTGAGCCGATTAAGGAACCTAAAAGGTGTAATTGAAGCAAGCGAAAGAGTCAAATGGATTTAATTGTAGTAGATTACTTGAGATAAATACTCTTAAAGTTGAAGCCTCGAATCAAACCTATAAACTTCTATTTGAAGGTGGGGGCCACATTTATGGTAGGAAAAAACTCCAGTTTCTCTAAATTGAATTTCTTTTAGTTAAGGAATTCAAATTGCCCGTGAGTATTTGAATTTCCTCATATAAGGATCTTAAAAGAAGAAATATCTTTGTGACCTTAAGTTTTTTCGTCAAGAATGTTGTTCCATGTAATCTAGGAGATGATAGGGTGTGTGATTGGGATGTGCCGGGAGTATGGAATGATAACGAAGATGAAAGTGGTGAATCATATGACCCGTTAGCAGAGTCTAAAGAAGGACACTCTCAAGCAGAATATGGGAACGAAGAGCATGACGATGCGCTGGATGATGAGCTTGAACCTGATGTCGAACAAGTGCACACTGAGATTCGCAGGGATGAAGAAGCGGTCCGGCCACCGGGATGTAATGGTCTCACCGGAGACCCTAATGATGAGAAATTGCAACTCATAGTACAGTCTTCTGGGACAAATGATGTTAATGAGGGCGATGTATTTGATAATAAAAAGGAGTTGAGTTTGAAAATGCATTTAGTTGCAATGCGAAAGAATTTTCAGTTTAAAGTAAA